TTATAACTATTACCAAATTAATTTGATTATATTAGTAAACTATAAATATTTCATTTTAAACCAATATCTTATATGATATATAAAACCCAATTAGATGAATTTTAATCCGATAGCTGTTATTGCCAAGGGTAAATAGATTCGCTCATAGTCAATTTTGTCACTTGGCCATTTGGCTGGCCATTGGCCGATTCGGTCAAAAAAATTATTTGCCAATTATTCATATAGAAAAGCTAGCAATATGATTTGTTAATGTTATTTAAGTTAGAAACTTTTGGTCGAAGTGTCGGCCAAAAGCCAAAAAAATCGGTTTGCCGCAAGAAATTGCCAACACTGCTCATAGTATAAGTACCATTATGCATAAGTACCATCATCAATTTTCAATGATTCTTCATGTAATATTACTTCAAGTTGGGTATACACTTCTTGTGCAGATGGTCGTTCTATTGAATTTGATCTCCAACATTTTTGATACAAATCAAAATATGCATTTGGAGTACCTTTAACAGGGTATTCTCGAATGTTATCTGAAACAATTCGGTTTACCAAATTACTTGGATTTGTAAAATTTTCGAATGGAAACTTTCCGCTTGAAATGGACCACATAACAAATCCTAGGCTATAAATATCAGATGCCGCTGTAAAATTTGAATCCAGATCTTTTAAAAGTTCTACGTCAACAAATGCAATCATCCAGTCTCCTTGCAATGATATTGATTGTGAAGTATCAATGTTTAATTCCGAAAATACTGGATTTGATATCTTCGCCTTCCCCTTATCGATGAAGATTGATTTTGTATTCTAAATGCAAAGAATAGATATTTAATATATTTATAAATATACTCAGCTAGGAAGAAAAGGAAGCATACCAAACTTCGATGAATCATTCCAACTTTGTTGTGTAAATATACCAAGCCAGAAGCTATATCCTTAGAAATTTTTATTCTTTGAATCCAGTTCAGATCTTTATGTTCAAACAAGTAATCATGTAGATTTCCATTATTAATATATTCAAATACCGCAAAGTAGCTTTTGGTTTCTAAATCTTGAAAAAAATAAGGGTATTTTGAATGAATATATATCAATATACCGTAATATTTTAATATTTTATTAGAATATTGGTCAGTTAAAAGTTGTCTATCAGAATTTGATTTTCGGCTTTACCAAAACCAAAAGTGTTTCGTAGTATTTAGAAACCTCTCGAAACACCAAAAGTTATCTAATGTCACGTCATAACTTTTTTGTTGCCTTAAAAAAGTTGCTTATTTTATCTATCGGTCTAAAATCAATGAATTTTTAAATAAGATTTCCAAATATAAATTAGTTGGAAATTTTTTTAGAGCAACTTTCGATTGTCGACTTTTTTTAATAAATTCTGAGACAACTGAAAAATTGCCGGTGAACGAATCGATAAGTTTTTGATATGAAAACTCATTAATTCCTACTTGGTACTTATTGATTAGTTCACAAGAAATGCTTCACTTAATTCAGAATTTATGAACACAACTGTAAATTCCTGCGTATACGTGATGTATTTATCGGAATTACTTATATATCGGACGTCCCAATAGGAATGTAGTTCTTTAGATAATCACTTTTTAAAACCTTATTATAGATGGTACGAAACAATTTAATTGAAATCTGTCGGGAACGGTATTTTAGCAACATAAGGAGCTGTTCCATGGATAAATTTTAAATTGAAATATATCTAAGGAAATTGTTCATGCTATTTTGATTCTGTAGTCTGATTGGTCGATTTGTCAATTCATATTTATACTGAGAACAGATTCAGCATAAACATAACTGCAACTTGTTTTAAGGCCGCCAAAATTTTCTGAGAGCAATGCGTATGTCAGTGCTTACATTTTTAGTGTCCTAGGTGTTTTTTTTGTGTCCTGTCCAAGTTTGGGTTCATTCGAGCTTGCTAAACTCTTAATATTAATTGTAAATGTTTTGTTTAGATTATCTATCTTTGAATGATCTGAGTATCCATAAGTAATTTGCTATTATATAATATGTTGCTACCATGTGAGTATGATTTGCTTGTTACTGAGATGTATGCAATTAATGAAGACGTTAAATTTTACAGTTAGCTTAATTCTATAAAGACCATTTATGTTTCTATATAATTTATAAGTTTGCACAGTTTCTTGATGATTAAAGTTTGTTGCTCATTTATGGTTGATTATTAATATGCATTTTGATTCGGCGATTTTTTATAAAGCATGGTGCTTGCGTAAAGTGTAACTGTTTGATTGCGACGACTTGTCACTTGATTTATAATATCGAGCCATAATTAGCGTTAGTGGCATGATATCGAGCCGTAAGGCCGTTCAAAGTTGATTATTAGTTTAACGTCATCCCCCCTCACGGTTAACAGTCCCCCGGAAATTAAACAGCCAATCACAACACAGAATAAAGTTCATTAATCATGTGACTAAGGCTGGCCAATGAGATTTGATCAAATATTCTTGGAAATATATGTGTTTGTTTAATTTCCCCCTCCCCCCTCGTGCCTGAGCCCAAAATATTGACGTTAAACTAATAATTAACTTTAAACGGCCTAAAGTGTTAGTAACATAATAAATCTGAAGGTCTTTTCTGACAGGATATTACGAAGGGTGTCAATTTGACATTTTATTAGCCTTATAAAAAAGTTTTTACAATTATTGTAGGCATTGTTCAAAAAAATGTTCGGAATGGAGTCGATTTCCGAATTCCAGTACGATATTGTACAATTTTTATACCGTGATGTAAAAAAAGAAATGTTTGGGTTGACAACATTAGGTATAAACATTGTACAAAATCAGTATATGTTCGGAAAATCGGCTTCATTCCGAAAATTTTTTTGAACAAATGAACATTGCCGACAAAATTTTTTTATAGGGTACTTGCTAGTATATATTGTTGCCTTATGCGGAGTCGGATAAACGCCAGTCGGGGAAATAACTATCGAGGAAATGAGGCAATTTTAATATAGACTAGCTTGACCTGTGAAAAATCTGAAACACAGTTGTAATTGATGATCGACAAACATTTACCTACGTATGTAACCCTAAATGAATGGACACATTGAATGTCGTACAAAAATTTATCTTATCAGTCACATGTAAAATTTTTAACATTGGGTCAAATGATCGACGCATCTAAATTTTATATGTAAAATTTAGGCAAATTCTGCTTTTTATTTAACAACAAAGAAGTTGTCTATTTATTTTCTGGGTATAATATTACAAATTCTCTGAATTTGAAGGCTCTTATTAAATTTAATGGTTAATAATAAATGAAGAAGATTGGCTGTTTGTTTATATGCGATGACAAATGATGTACATCATTTATCCAAAATAAACATCAATTAAAAAAATTTAATAGACGTTTCCTTATTGCTTATTTCGGATAAATGATGTATATCACTTGTTATCACAAACGGTAAAAATCGTAAAAAAATTGCCCAATTTCGTGATCATGATTCGTCTCAATTTTATTATTAACCACCTTTAAAATTTCGTAATAAGAGCCTTCAAATGCTAGAGAATTTGTAATATGATACCCAGAAAATAAACAGACGACTTCTTTGTTGTTAAATAAGCCTAAAAAGCGGAATTTGCCTAAATTTTACATAGTTATAAAATTTAAGTGCGTCGATCATTTGACCCTATATGAGTGTCGCTAAAAGAAAACCAGAAAATTTAAATATAAGTCATATTTAAATTTTCGGGTTTTCTTTTAGCGACACTCATATTAAGAATTTACACACATGATCTGCGTGACAAATCGTGTCCCTGTTATTCGGCAAAGTCAAATAATCATCAATTTTTCATGTGTTACGATGTAATCATGTTTATTAACTATCATGATCAGAAATTGCCGGATAACAAATACTGGGCAAAAATTGCTGATAACGGTAATTTGGCTCAACTGCAAATGAACACCAATCATTTGCCCGGTTGAGCCAACGTCAAAGTTGATTAGTTGCTTAACGTCGGTATTTGGAGTCCGGCACAAAAATTCAAACAAACACATATACAACACAGCATATTTGATTAATCACATGATTATTGAATATTATCCTGCGTTGTGATTGGCTTGTTTAATTTCTGGAGGGAACAACTAACTGAGAGGGGATGATGTTAAACGACTATTCACTTTGAACGGCCTTATTCGGAACTTTTGCCCAATATTGCATACTTATTATCACACGACTTATTTAGATGAGTTTTTTTTTTTAAAAAAAATAATGAATCTTGAGCCAATTAAATCAAAAATTTCATTGAAATTGGCCGCTCGATTATTGAAAGCATTGTCGATGGTAAGGAAACAAACCCGATAATATTTGACCAATATACTAATTTCGAATAAATAAAAGTATACAATAATTACCTACAGAAGTACCGAGAAATTCTATTATATTTGGATGCTTGATTGTGTTTAGTTTTCGTAGCTATACATAATAACATGTAGTTAGTAAAGGTTTAGAATAAACGAAGTCATGAATGATTATACTTACAAGTTGTTTTAATACTTCAATATTCCGATTTGTTAAGTCATTCGAGATATGTTTCATAATTACGATATAATTACGCCATTGACCTCTCATACTAACCCCATAGTACATAGTTTTTATTAATTTCGTATTTTTAATTTCCGAGTAACTGATTGAGTTAATATTATCACTTTGTAGTGTTTTGATAAATTTGATATCTTCGCTGTTAGATCTATTCATTGGTTTAATTAATTCAGCATCTTTATTATTAGATGTGTGCTCCATATTATATTTAGGATTACTGTAAACTTTTGGATAATTTTGCGAGTTACAAAATACTTATGGTAATTTTCGATATGCTTAAAAAATTTATCTATAAAAATTCATAAGAACTTAGTTCTAGAGAAACAAGTCGAATGTTCGATTTTTTCCTTTCAATTATTATAAAACGCACCTATGGTGTTTTGCACCAATTATATGTTTAAGTTTTTGTAAGTATAATATTTTTAACAAAATTTTTTACATTAAGGTTAGTACTTGCAGTTAGATTAGGGATTTTGCATAGAACATTTTTACGTAGATGTAAAAACCATACATTTTAATCATTTCCTTTTTAGTATCTTATAAGATCAACACGTGGCATAAAATTTTGATTGAGTGTTAAAAATAGCTAGCCGGATTTATAATTCTTTCGTATGCAGATGTTACACAAATTGTTACACAACTTAAAAACTTTTTTATATTATTATAGAATACTCTCGTGCAACTTATTCTTTCTATGAAATGTAAAAAATTTATTAAGCAAACAGAAGCTCTCACTTTGCATTATAACATATTATTTGAATCTCAATGAATCCCTCAATTTGTAAAGGGAAAGCCTCCGGACACCTACCAGTTCACATGGACACCTACCAACTCGGGTAATTTTTGTACCTACCCTATTATAAATCTAAAACCCTAAGTAAAATTACGTGAACTGGTAGGTGTCCGGAGGCTTTTCCTTTTGTAAATCTGCAATTTGATTGGTCGATCAGTCATGTGCTGAGAATGAAAATCATTTCCATATTCGAACGTTCTATGCTGTAGTACGTGTAACTTTTTCGTCAGCAACACAAAAAAGAAAATCAACTTATAAACCAAGTACGTACGTAGAATTAGAAATTTAAAGTTAGGATATAAAATTTCATTTCCGTCGCTTTTTATTAGGATT